TTCCTTCCTTCCTTCCTTCCTTCCTTCCTTCCTTCCTTCCTTCCTTCTTTCAATCACGCTATTGGGCTTGGTTCATTTCCTGTCATTTTCTCAACCTTTCATTCTTAAAGTGAACAGATCCATATGGGCCTTGTATTTGTTCAGAGGGAGGGTGGGTGAATTTTCCTTGATTTGTATTTCTACTCTTTGAATCCAGTTTGTTTTGCTTGTTGCTGCCTTTGACTTGAAGGCTACAATTGTTTTAGGCACAATTGTTGTTTTTTTTTTTTTTTTTTCCCTTGAATGCCTACCAGGCAGCTGTTTCCGGGAGAGAGAGAGCTGAGCCAGTACTGAGACATGAACTTCACTTTCTCTCCTCTGAGACTCTGCTAAATGACTGGTTCCAGTGCCTGCCCCATGGCCAGAGGTGGATTCTACCCCGTGGATTACTGAGCGCTGTAGGAGGGCTTCTCCCATAAATCATTTGCTTTTTTCCTTCTCAGAACTCATGGCTGTCCACCCCAGTCTTTCCAACTCCAGATGGGAGCACATTGGTAAGGCTGCTTTGTATTTCTTGGCTTCTGTTCTTTCTTCAGTTTGGCTTCTTGGGGAGTGGATAAGAACCAGGACTAGGAGCTGTGCTTTCTTCACCATCTCGAGTCACATTGGATTTATTTCTGTACATGGATTCCAGGTTTGAAACTGAATTTTCAGTAACACTTTGTTCTTTTCATTCGACATTGTAAAATATGAAATTCATTTCCTTGCTGAAGCCCACCTTATTTACCAAGAGGTCCCCTCCTGTGGTTTGGATATGGCTTGTACCCCAAGGGTTCACATGCTGGAGGCATGGGCCAATCTTACGTGGCAGGCGTAAGCACTGGAAGGTGGTGGGACATGAAGAGGTAGGGCCTAGTGGGAGGTGATTGGCTCAGGACTGCGTTTGTGAGGGTGTTAATGCTCATCTCCTGAGTGGATTAGGTCTTCTAGGAGAAGGTTGATTTTCACAAGAGCAAGTTGTTATAGAAGAGTGAGCCTGGCCCTTTTGTCTGTCTGTCTCTTGTGCATTCTTTCCATGGGATGCATGCTCCCATGCTGTCTTCCAATAGGCCTTCACCAGAAGCCAATACTGACACCATGCTCTTGGTCTTCCAGAATTAGCAACTAAAGAAACATCTTTTCTTTATAAGGTACCCAGCCTCATTTATTCAGTTATAGCAACAGAAAACAGACTAAGATATCACCTTACCTATTCTTGCCTTATATGCCTTTCTCTATACTGCAAAAGACAATAATGCATTCAAAACACAAATATATTGTGTTACTGTGTTGCTGCATTCCTTATCTATGGTAACCATTCTAGCCCTCAGACCACCTGTTTCCTCCTAGGGTCAGAGTCCTTGCTTGGCCTGTATAAAGATCATGAATGGATGATTGCATTTGAACACATTCGGAGACCATATGCTTCATTTCAAAATGGCTTCACTTTCTGGGCTTCTTTAGTAAAAATTGGATGTCCTTGTCACTATTATTTTCCTGTCCCTCATTTTAACCTAAAATAAAGAAGCACTCAATAGCTTCACATTCTTGTTGATACAGAATTTCAAATTGTTGAAAAATAATTTTGGGGTATTCTGAGGAGTGGGCCTATCCAAGTCCTTCCCTTGAGTTCCTGGAATTAACAGTGGTATGGACCAATAATGCTCTTTCTGCTTTAGTCTGTCTGCAGAGGCTTACCTCTCCCACTCTATCATCCCAGCCATGCCATTTCTAGGAATGGGGCTGGGACAGAAGAAGAGATTTCCACTGGTGTTCCTACAGCACAAGGAGATTAAAGACATAGACTCATTCTGTGGGAATAGAAAGCATAAATGTGGAGACTAGGGGACACTCACCACTGCCCAGTAGGCCTGAGAAACAAGGCCATTGATGCACAGGTCCACTAACAACAGAATCGCCCCAATTAGGGAAAAGATAGAACTCACAATGTTCATTCCCAGGCTGCTTTTTATCTAACGGAGACAACAGAAAAAATAAATTAGAGGATAATTAAAATTAAACAAAATAATAATCTCAGTTATATAGTTCTTGTTCTTTGACATCTGTGGCAATTTTTGAAGTTGAATTGTTTCTTTTTACTGCATTTACGGGTGATTAACACCAAAATCACTCTGCAACCTCATTGTCAGTTCCTTCTGAAAAGCTGTAAAAAAATGTCAATGATGTATTTTATTTGTATAAAAACCTCATGCTTAATAACAACTTTATTTCCCTTTAAAAAAACAGAAGAACAAATAAAATTTTTTGGGTACTGGGGATTGAACTCAGGGGCATTGGTCACTGAGCCATCTCCCCAGCCCCATTTTGTATTTTATTGAGAGACAGGGTCTCACTGAGTTGCTTAGCTCTTCGCTTTTGCTGAGGCTGGCTTTGAACCCGAAATCCTCCTGCCTCAGCCTCCCAAGCCGCTGGGATTACAGGCGTGCACCATTGCAAATAAATAAACTTTAAATGGGCATTGTTCTGTGACAGGTGCTGTGTTAAATTTTTAAAATCATATTGTCACATTGAGATCTTACAGCCATGTCATGAGGTAGTACGATGGCATCTGGTTCTGTAGAAGGGAAAGTATATACCTCCAAAGTTGTTGCTGATAGATTTAAGGATTAATGAAAGCCTCAACAGTTCTCTAGTGACTAGATGATGAACTCCAAGTTTTTAAGGAGAAACCCTTTAGGTTTTTGTGAGTACTGGCATATGGACAGAGTGAAAAACTTGCCCTAGCTTTAACAATAGCATGGTGACACGTGACACAATAATTGTGAAACCAGTGCTCAGCTGACTTGCTAAGGAGGCACATAAAAGATGCTTTATTTTGTTTCTGGATTACAAAAAGAGTGTTTGATCAGTTTGCGGCTAGCTTCAATTGTATTATAGTGTTTTGGTTTTGTCTAGAGGAACATGAACAATGGATTTTATGTTCCCACTTTCCCATTCTTTCTCTTTGTGCCTAATTACATAATTAAGGTGATCTTGAAACTACCTCTGCTTTAGTTTTTGGTAAGTCAGTTTCCTTCTCCTGGTTGGAAATTCAATCAGGAAATTGGTATGCTGTGACCAAGGGAATTGAAAGCCCTGTCTCATTGATCTTTTTATAAGTTTTTCTTATGTTCTGAGCTAGATTACTTTAATCCTGATTTAAAGAATTCTACAATAAAAACCCAATCTCAAGAAGAAATATGTGTGTGTACACACACACACACACACACATGCACATACACACATCTGCACACACACACACACACAACCATAAGGCAGAGTTGAGAATAGACAAGTGAACATCCGAGACCTTTTTACTGAGGGGCAAGTAGGTATTTCCTGGTTCCTGGAGTTTTGTGTGTGTGGGGGGTGGCCTTCTGCTGGTGAAGTTTGACTCAACTGAAGCAAAAAGTCTTTAGGTTAAAACTTAAGCCACCCTTATCTTTCCCATTTCCCATCCTTGTGAGTTCAAGAGTCAGGAAGTGGAGCTCTCACATTCCAATTTGCCTAAATTGGCAAATGGCGTGGACCACTCTTCCACATATTTTGAGAAAATGCATCTGTTCACACTTTCTGAATCTGCCTCCTCAATGTTCCTCTCCACTCATCTTTAGAGGGGTTTAAAAAGTAGAAACATTCTAACTTACCAGGCAAGGGGAAAATTCATTGAATGTTGTTATAGAGAGTGATCCAGAAATAATGAACTGTAGAAATAGAAAAATTTATTTGTCAAATGGTGGATTCTCTGATTGTGCCTGGGAACTTCTCCTTACATGGAAGGTTGGTCCATTTACATTCACCTAATTTTGTTCTCGAAATTGCCTGTTATTTTTCTCAGTTTTCTTGAGTAACTATGAGTGATATGATTTGACTCTTCCCCACCCCTAAGATTCTTGCACATAAAGAACTCATTTTCCTGAAAGCTTTCCTTATTCAAAGATTCCTGAGATTATTGCCTAATGTTGTTTCCTGAAATGTTGCTTTTTTTTTAAAAAAAAATTATATTTCCAATTATCTCCTTTTGCCACTCTCCACCCAACACACCCTTTTCTGTCTAAAATGTCATAGGGATCTAAAACTTTGGTTAGATTACTTGAGCTAAGTAAACTTTAAGATTCAAATCAAAAATGGGGAACAATGTTCCCCTTCTTTTTTAAGCCCAGAGATGTTATTTCTCTAAATCCTCCCACCCTCAGATACCTGGATTATTAAAAACTTAATAATATTAATATCACATGTAGGCTGAAGATGCCCAGGTAGGGACAGGTGTCCTAGCCATCTACTCACACAGATTCCACCCCAGAATGGATATCCACTAATAAAAGTGAAGGAGCCAAAACCCAAATATTGTGTAGTAGTGTAGCTCAAAAGGCCCAAAATAATTCCAAAGCCAATGTGCATTGATCCAATCACAATCTGGATTCCCTGAAAGAGAAAATAGGAATTTTACAATTACTTCTTCATTTTCAGCCTTTGAGACCTTATGGTCATTGCTGCTCCTGTTCATTTACCCACCACTTTGCCAGGTTCCATAGGCATCACTTGGGCATGTAGGTAAAGCAGGGGTTGGACGTGAACGTTTTGATAGACTCTAGAATAATGGGAGCAAAAGTATCAGTGTAAAGCCTTGCTTGAGGTTTTGGAGGTGGCTTGCAGGGTGGCTGTAGGAGAGTACTTCAGAGAGCGCAACTACTGATGCATCCATTAGCATCTTCTGGAAGCCAAAGACACTCAGAAAAAAAACAATACCATTACATGTGACTTTAGTGGCTCTCTTTTGCAAATAGAACAGTTCTCTGCTTGGATAATATCAGTTATGAGTAATTAATTTTCTACTTGATAATGTTATAATCACTTTATACTTATTGTTCCTTGTAATCCCACCAACAGCTGAAAGAGACACAGAAATATAAATAAATTAGGTGTTCAAGGTCAGGCAGTTAGTGAGGGACATATTTGGGAATTTCCTGCAGCCATTTGACTCCAGAGCTCACATTTGAACTCTTTGGCACTGACTCCTCCCACCCCCGAGGCTCAATGCAGGTCCATCTCTTCCACTAAGCCTTCTTGGTTACACCTGTCAAATTGACTTACTGTCTTTTCTTTCTCAATTTCTATTGCATTTCTCTAATTGCTAAAGATATTGAACATTTTTTTCATATATTTTTTGACCATATATATTTTTTTTCATATATTTCTTCTTCTGTGAAGTGCCTGTTCAGTTCCTTTGCCCATTTAGTGATTGAGTATTTGTTCTGTTGGTGTTTTTTTGAGTTCTTTGTATGACCTGGAGATGAATGCTCACCTGAGCAGGTGGTAAAGATTTTCTCCCATTCTGTAGGCTCTCTGTTTATGTCATTGGTTGTTTCCTTTGTTTTGAAGAAGCTTTTTAGTTTGATGCCATACCTTTTATTGATTCTTGATTTTACTTTTTGTGCTCTAGGAGTCTGTTCCTGAGCTGACATAATGGAGAGTTGGGCTTACATTTTCTTCTAGTAGGTGCAGTGTCTCTAGTCTAATGCCTGGGTCCTTGATCCAATTTGAGTTGAGTTTTTTGCAGGGTTGGGTGGGTGATAGGGGTTCAATTTCAATATACTACATATGGATTTCCAGTTTTCCCAGCACCATTTGTTGAAGAGGCTATCTTTTCTCTACCTTTGCCCAGTATGAGTTGTCTGTATTTATGTGGTTTGTCTCTGTGTCTTCTATTCTGTACCCATTGGTCTACAAGTCTGCTTTGGTGCCCATGCCATTGCAATTTTTGTTACTATAGCTCTATAGTACAATTTAATGTCTGATATTGTGATGCTTCCTGCTTCAATTTTCTCACTGAGGATTACTTTGGCTATTCTGGGTCTCTTATTTTTCAAAATGAATTTCATAACTGCTTTTTCTATTTCTATGAAGAGCATCATTGGAATTTTAATAGGAATTGCATTAGATCCGTATAGCCCTTTTGATAGTATGGCATTTTGACAATATTAATTCTGCCTATCTAAGAACATAGGAAATATTTTCATTTCCTAAGGTCTTCTTCAATTTCTTTTTTTTAGTGTTCTGTAGTTTTCATTGTAGAGATCTTTCACCTCTTTTGTTAGATGGATTCCTAAGTATTTTATTTTATTTTTTGAGGTGAGTGGGATAGATTCCTAATTTGTCTTTCAGCTGATTCATCATTGGTATATAGGAATGCAATTGATGTGTGGGTGTTGGTTTTATATCCTGCTGCTTTGCTGAACTCATTTATGAGTTCAAGAAGCTTTCTGGTGAAGTTTTTTTTTTTTTTTTTTGATTCTAAGTATAGAATCCTATAGTCAGCAAATAGGGATAGTTTGAGCTCTTCTTTTCCTATTCGTATCCCTTTACTTTCTTTTGTCTAATTGCTAAAACTACACTGAGATTCCATCTCACCCCAGTTAGAATGGCAATTATGAAGAATGCAAGTAACATTCAATGTTGGCTAGGATGTGAGGGGAAAGGTACACCCATACATTGCTGGTGGGACTGCAAATTGGTGCAACCATTCTGGAAAACAGTATGGAGATTCCTTAGCAAACTTAAAATGAAACCACTATTTGACCTAGTTATCCCACTTCTTGGCATATACCTGAAGGACTTAAAATCAGCACAGCCACATCATTGTTTATAGCAGTTCAATTCACAATACTTAAGCTATGGAACCAATATAGGTATCCTTCAACAGATTAATGGATAAAGAAAATGTGGCAAGTATACACAATGGAATATTACTCATCCATAAAGAAGAATGAAGTTCTGACATATGCAGTAAATGGATGGAACTGGAGACTATCATGCTAAGTGAAATATGCTAATCTCATAAAACTGAAGACCGAATGTTCCCTCTAATGTCTGGATGCTAACCCATAACAAGGAGGGTAGGGAGGAAGTATAGAAAGACACTCATTGGACTAGACAAAGGGGAATGAAGGGAAGGGAGGGGAGATGAGACTAAGAAAGACAATAGAATGAATTGGGTGGAGCTTTCCTATGCTCATAGAAGAATACATGATCAGTGTAACTCCACATCATGTACAACCACAAGAATGGTATCTAAATTGGAATGGGTTGCACTCCATGTATGTATGATATGTCAGAATACACCCTACTGTTATGTGAATCTAAAGCAATAAATAAATTCAACTCCCCCAAACATTTTTGTTGCATGTTAAGATATAAACACACCTTTTCACTTGGCTTTCTAGTCATTTATATCTTTTTTTTTTTTTAAATTTCAGGTGTGCATCCATTTTCTTATCAGTCAAGAGACATATATCCAAAGACAAGGGACACCTCTTGTACTTTTTTGTACCTCTTGTCACACCTTTCTTTGTCCTGAGTAAGCATATACTTCTGAGAAATGACAATTGCTAGATTGGTGCAAAAGTCAATGGAATACTATGATTCATTTCTTCCCAATGTGCATGTCTTATCTAACCAGGAAGACTGCAAACACAGACACTTCTGTGTTTATGTCTTCAATAAATAGTTAGTGCATATAATTAAGTTAAATTAAAATTGGAACGTTTCATAAGCAAAGCTAAGAGATTGATATACTTTTGAATAATGAATTTCTTTGAGATTCTCATAAAAACTATGAACCTTTCAGTCTTGCCCATCTATGTACGTATGCCACACTTTTACCCATAGCTCAGGGAGATGATGAGCCTCTTTTAGTGAATGATATATCTCAGTTGAAGAACTCCTGCATGAGATTTTATCTTTGATTTCCACAAGTTCTTCTCATCAGTCCAATAGTCTACAAACTTCCCATCTTCATCCTAATTGTACCACGTACTGATCAAAATCGCCTTAAACTTAACCACCTTTGTGCTTTCAATTCACTTTGCATTTTTGGCCACAGGACCACCTAAAGTTCTGAGCTGATTGGTGTGGATGCTGTTCACCCCACCAGCCATGGCCCCTGCATAGTTGTCATGAATGGAGCTGCGAGTGGCACAGATGTGTAATCTTCATGGAGATGTAGCTTCTGCCAAGTGCAGTCGCTTTTAAAAAGTACTTTTATTTCACACCTCTTTGGTACCAGGCAGTGGTACTTCATTCCATTCAGTAAAAGCCCAAGCCTCTGCCCTCCAGGTCCCACCAGGTCTGGCCCCTACCATGTCTCTGCCTCTCCTTCTGAGCTCCCTCCCTTGCATTCTCTTCTACTTTATTGGCCTCCTCCCTGTCCATCAAATTCATCACACACATTTTCCTCTAAAGACCTTTACACTGGTTTCCCTCTTGCCCTGATATCTGCACGGCTCACCCCTAACTTCACATCTGTGCTCAGATGTCATGTTCTAGGGAGAGCCCAGGCTGGCCAGCTTGAAATAGCTCCTCCCTCATTTCCTGGTACTTCTGACCCCTTTTGCACTTTATTCTCTGTGTTTCCTTTATCTCTTTCCAGCACACTCCATGCTCCACTTCCTTATTATGTGTGCAGCTGATTTCCCCCACTAGGTGGTAGGTTCCATGAGGATGATAATCCCAACTCCTCTGTGGGGTGCTGGTTTGTCCCAGTGTTCAGCAGGAAAAGGGAATTTCCTCCATCTGGCAGGAGGAGGAGCTGAGGGGCCACCTCCTCAGCTTAGATTGGCTGCCGGAGGGAGACTGAGGCTCATTATTAATTTCTTAAAATGGCTGAGACTTAAACTAGGTAGTAAGATGGCTAGAGGAGTTCTGGCACGCAATGGTGATTTAATTTTATTTATGGACAACTCTAGCTGTAGAGGTTGGAGCTGCACACAGCGGGAGATTCCATGCGGTTTGGTGGGATTTTGTTAGGGTCTGAAAGAGGTCTCTGGAATGCTTGGCAAAAAGACTAACAATTCTACCTAAGCAGGTGGAATCTTCACCTCCAAGTAGGGCGGCATGTTTTCTGAAGTCTATGGAAATAAGACTGTGGCTGTTCAGCTCAAAGTAACCTTTGTAGAAATAAGGCATCAGTTAAGCCACAGCATTTTCAAGGGTACTGTGAGGGAAGCACTGCAGGTGATACGCCTCCTAATTCTTTCACCCTGAGCTTTCCCCAGACTTCCTGTTAGTAACTCCACTCGTTTTGGGGCAGCTACCACCAGTAAATTCACCTGTAGGCAAACACCAGGCTTGTAATCATTCCAGAAGTCAGAGTGAGATTGTCTAAAAAGTTTTTTAACAAAGTGAGATCGAGTTAGAAGTAGTGATGCTCCGGTTGTATCAATATTACCGAGTGCCCCTGCTAGGGAGGGAGGGTCCTCTGTCAACCATTAGATTCTTGCTTGAATCTGAAATAAAGTGGACTTGGGGTAAAGTCTGTTTGCAGATTGATTATTTCTACCTGAATGGGACACAGTTTCCAGAATACTGTTTAGAGCTCCTTAATAATTGAATGGTAAATCATCTAGAGCTTACAGGTATAAAAACAAACCAACCCTTGCAAATGCAAAATTAGAATTCTGGTAGCAAGTAGACTCACCCCCAGTGTCTTTGCTTCTTTGAAGTTTGTTGGTACTGTTCCTGTAGCTGGACTTATTTGTACGTTTCCTTGACCCAGCTGATTGCTAGGAATGATTCCCGGAGATGCAACGAAGTAAGGCTGCCCACCTTGAGCTTGGTTTCCTGGGTTTATTGGACTCAGATGTTGCTGAGACCCGGGAGCCCCGTAGCTGCTTGATGGGTAAGGATTGGGGGTGGTTTCATGTGCTCCAGGGTACATTGTTACCTGGAATGACATCGTTATGTCCTAAGTATTACAAAACACACATAAGTAATACATTAATGCAGAAAAGAAATTGAAGGACACCTTGTCAAATGTCAGTTGTCTATCCAAATGGAAGAGGGCAAGTTAGCAGCAGAAAACAAGCAACGAGGCTCACATAAATGAGATTCTCATTTGATTTGGAATCTTGTATGTCCTGTGGTTTGGAGGAAGTGAAGAAGAGAGGAATATATTTTGTAGTTCTTTCTATTTAGTTGTCGTGCATGCGTGTGCATTTACTGAGTTCCTTGCTCATCAAGAATAGCAGGAGGGAAGGGACTGGGGTCCATAGAGTAATGTCCCTTCTCCCCTCTAGAGATGTCCACATCCTAATGTGGGAATCTGGGAATATGTTAGCCTGCTTGGCACAGGAGAATTAAGATGGCAAATAGAAGTAAGGCTGTTCAGTTGACCATGCAATAGGAAGGTTGGGTGGGCCCAGTCTTAAGGACCCTTAAAATTGAGAGAGGCAGAAGAAAATAAAAAAATAAAAGACAGAGCAATGATGCAGGTAGGGTCGGCAGGATGTGATAGGCTGACTCTGAAGATGGTGAAGAGATCATGAGACAAGGAAGATGGATCCCTCCAGAAGGTGGATAACAAGGAAGCAGATCGTTCCTGAGAGCCCCCAGAACAAACCTTAGATCTGCAGACGCTTTGCTGATAACCCAGTGACTTACAGAAAGGCCAGATAAATTTTACGTTGTTTTAGGCCACCAACTTTGTGATAATTTGTTAGACTAACAATTGTATGTATGCAGCTGTATGGTAAGGAAGGCAGTCTAGGGTTAAAATTATCCATAACTGGAAAAGTAGATAACTCATTTATGACGCTCATGTTGATTTTCCTTTTCTTTAAGGAAAATATTCTTGAGATTCTTTCTTCATTTCTGTTCTTCAAGAAATAAAGCCTAGAGCATCTCAGTCCCTATGTAGCTGAGGGAAATTTTGTTGAAAATAAGTCAACATAATTAGACAGGGACAAAAATCATGGTTAATTCTTGAAAACAATCACGACACCCCAAAACTCCTCTTCAGTAGCCTTAGATTCCTTTTCAGAGACCTTCTCTGCAAACTTTTTTCTTGTACTTCATGGATTCAAGAAAACAGGAGTAAGGAATGTCTTTGTCCTTGGCATGAGGTAGGAATTGAAGGAATCCCTATTATGCCCTATTCGAGCATGGCACCACTGGCATTTGAACAGGGTCACTTACTCAGATGATGTACTCATAGAATCACAGCTACATGGGTTGCTGCATTATTGTTGCTATGTAATGTGCATACAGTTTATTGTCTCTTTCTTTATGAAATCCCATAAGGTAGATAATAATATTATTCCTATTTCACAATGAGAGAATATAATGGACTTATTCATTCCCTTGGCATCTCCATGTCTGTCTGTCTTCCTTCCTCCCTCCCTCTCTCCTACCCCCCTCCCTTTCTTTCTTTCCTCTGCTCCAAGCTCTGTTCCCATTTCAGATATTTACCTGGATTTTATAAGTACCTATTGCTTCCTTTCACAGTCCTTATTCTAAGCTGCTCATATGGTAGATACAATTGAAAAAAAAATAGTTGAAAACTCAGTGGAAAGGGAGAAAACACACTTCTGAAATGTCTGATTATAAAAAGATTACTTTTTGAAAATGGGAACAAATCTAATTCACAAAAAATGTATTAAACAAGGGAAAAAAAAAAGAGTTCCACGCCTGTGATTCTTGGAGTCTCTCTAACTCTCACAAAACAGCTGAGAAATACCAGTGTATTTCTGGAGTCTGTGGATAAATGTTGCTCCAACTCTTTCTTTTCTTATCTGCAATCTGCTGCTTCACTAACTCTGGGGCTGTGAGAGATTTTCTTAACTAAATCCTTGTTAGTTCCCTGTGTCTCTGTTGTATAAAGACAGATGATGCTATTTGAAAAGACGGGTGCAAAGATCAAATAATCACACTTTTCATAAAACCATTGCAGCAGTGCAGACATAGAATAAGCGTTTGATTAAGGGTAGCTATTATTTTATTATTAGAATCTACAATCTTCTCTCTTGTTTGAAGGAGAGGATTGTGCATATGAAAAGTTTTCCAAAGCGATTGAACTTCAATGCTAGGAGGAAAGAGATTGGAGATGGTGTGGGGGGTACAGTAGTTAACCAGAATCAGAATGAGCTTGAGATTTTAATAAATGTACGATTAAGTGGTTGTCCTGTGTTTCTCTGTGTATGGGATCTTATTACCTTCCTGTTTGCTGTTGACCATTTTTATTTTGTTTCTTTCTGAAAATTGAAATTAACAAACCTGCAGACGATTTGCTGATAACCCAGTGACTTACAGAAAGGCTTTTTAAGAAAAATTTAAGATTTTCATTTATCAGCCATTTCTCATTTTTTATCTGCTATTTAGTTTCTGGACAAAGACCTATACATTTTGTTTAGACCTTGATTATTAACACCTGGCTCTATAAAGATCGTGATTAGTCTCAAAATGTGTTTTTGCCAAGCGAAGTTACGGTTTTAGATAAAAGATTAAAGAGCCTGTTTTGATACCTTTGTTTCATGTCCTAATGACTTACTGTGCAAATAGCTAAATGCTCGGGGAATTGAAATGAGGGTAATCCTGTAAATGATGAAAAGAAAAGGGAAGCCAATGAAGAGACTCTTTTCGTGTATTTCGGCCACTGATTTGACAAGTCAAGATACTTGCCTCCAGTTATCTCTCTTCTAATATGAGAACAACTGCAGTTGTTTTTAAGCACAGGGAACATACAACTATAAGGTCTAATGAGATTAAAAGTTTACAGCCACAGCAAGAAGAGAAAAACTTGCCAATTTGCTTTATGAACTAGATAATTTCAAACAAAATTGCAAAATTTTACTTTTTTTCTAGCTTCTTTTGACCTCCCTTCCTTATTAACTTTACTTTTAACACACTTAAAAGGACTCCTATCTTTTAGAATATATTTCAGTATATGGTAAAACAGCACACCAAATCGTTCCCACAGAGTCACTCAGTACATCCAAAAGTAGACAAGTCTATGAACTTCCACAAGTAAACAGGCTGACCTAGTGAAAAAGAATGGTTTTCCCCACCTAATTTTTTTTCCAGAAAGAAGCAGCATCTTAGTTAAAAAATGTGTTAAAACCCAAGTGCTACCTTATTTCTACTGAGTGGTGTACCGTGATAGCCACATTACTATCAAATGCCTCCCCTTGTTGGTTAATATTCATGGAACTGCATACTTCTGAACTTGCTGTGTTTTTGACAAGTCTTTGACATTGTTTTTCTTTAAGTACCTTTTATCTGTCTTTCAGTAATTGACTTCCTTTTTATTCCTCTCCCATTTCACTCTGTCCTGTTCCATTTCCCTCATCGTTTCTGTCCTGCTCATTTAATCTATTGGACTCAGCAGAGAGTCGAGAATTGGCCTTCCCTCTGCAGCCTGCAGCACACCATGCAGCTGAGAACCCCTGGGGCAGAGGCTCCTTACCTTAGGTGATGTGACTGAGGCACTGAGACAGGCAGAGCTGTTCAGCGGATTAATTCGGTTCCCTTGGCACCTCTGTGTTCCCTCTTGGTCTCTGACACACGCTCTGTTCCAGTCACAGATATTTACTTGGATTTTATAAGCACCTTTTACTTCCTTGCTTCTAATCATCCTGTCTCACATATTTGTGTAAATTCCAAAGTCCTTTTATTGCCCACTGTTTCACCCCAAATGAATGCACAGACCCATTTTTTTTTTTTTTTTACATTTTGGAACATGCTCCACTGTCACCCTCTCTTCCTATTTATGCCAGAAGCCTGTTTTGACTCTTCCAACAGGTCAGTCTTCATTTCTCCAGCCCCCTCCCGCCCCCGGGCTTTCTGACACTCTTCAGTGGAATATCATGTTGCATTTTAATTCCTTTAAAGTAAATAAACAAAACAGCAAAATTTCGAAACTTAAGAAAGAGGGTGGGGGAAAAAGGACCTACAATCCCAACACTAAGCAGAATTAATAATATTATTCTATTTAGAATTGTAAATTTAGTATTTAAATATGAATTTAACAGACAAGATTTTGTCCATTTAGGTTATACCATATATGCATGTGTATATATGTATATAGATACATATACTATTTTAACCTAATGTATAACACCTTTTCATGTCAATAAACATATACTAAACTAATGGAATAAGTGCATTAATACAGCCCTGCCTGTCTCTGCACCCAAATCAAAATGAGGTTGGTCTAGCTTTTGAGTTCCTGTTGCATTCTATTCTGTAGGCTGGAGAGGTAAACCCATTCTAGACTTGAAGGTCTCTTTTGCTATACTGACTCTTATTTCTTCAGCCATCTTCTGGCTTCCAAAAGGGCAGGAGACAGCATCATTCCACAATCTCTTTTTGTATCACTGGCATAGGAGCCTACTTTAAAACTGAATTAAATGTTAATGAAAAGTGACCAAGAGTATTTGACATTAAATTTTAAACAAAATGTTTACTTTCTTTTTTAAAAAAATGAGAGAAAACTCTTCTAAACAAGTATGGAACTCATTATTCAGAATTCTGAGACATGGGCTACCAGGATTTATAAATGTTTTAGAATTTTTTTTTAACCTTTAGTGATCTCACTAACTAGCTGGGAAAAGTGATACCTTTGGGTACATCCTATGGAGTTATGATTGTATGACTGGAAAGGCTCTCTAGAGATACATGAAAATGATGCTTCAGGTAAGGAACCTCCAACCAAAGAAGGGGTGTGGAATCATGTTGCTGTTATTATTACTACTGTGTTATTGTAACACAGCTGACATTTATTAAGGAAATACAAGTTGACAGACCTAGTTCTCAATTAACTTTCTTAAAGCGAGTTACAAAAAAGTAACTTTCCCAGGATCATACATTTAGTTAGTGCTGAAGAATAAAGTACCACAAAGACCATTTTTACATAGGTTGTAACACCTTTCATACCCTTATTGC